AATATGGGATAGAAAATAAAATAGAAGGCGCGAATCAAGATTAAAATGGATTTGGTACTTGCTAGTTATTTAATTACGTCTTGCACTATGCTTCTCTCTACTTTTTATTTGCTTGTCCACTAATGTTGATTTTTGGCAGATTTTAATTGTTATTTTCTGGTCGGCGCTCGAATTTGACAAAGACATTCACCATCCCGCCAACCCTGTCCCTATTTGCACAACTGATATCCGAGCATGTCAGCAAGCTCTGCCACGAGATCCTTCGTCGGACAGTATATGATGACCCGGTCCCGCTCGCTCTTGAACAGGTCTGTCCGGGTCCAGCAAGACTGTACAAGACAAGCTGCCTGCTCACATAGATTGCCTAGCCCACGTTCTTGCTGGACGATGTATCGGATGTTAGGACGATTTGTTGACTCTCTGACGATATGCGGCCGCACGAGTTTATTATGCTCAAAGAAAAGCTCTTGATAGATTGGTGGTAGTGTCGCTGTCAGCCAGACAGTCTGTGTACGAATCTGCCGTACGTGCCATGCTAGCTGCGACATACTTCGTCGGTAACAGCTTGCTGTGATCGTGAGATGGCATTCATCGATCACGATCCGATCTAGACACTGTCTATCAGACAGTCGGTTGGCATACTCTAGGAACGCCTCTGTACAAGCTGCCTCGGCCGATACAACAACGATGGGGGCTGATTTCTTCGAGCCTGGGCGCCAGATATGGTGCTTTAGCGCGACTTTATCAAGGCGCCCGAGCATATTACCGCGTAAGGCTACAGTGGGAAGGATCAGGATGGTTGTTTCAGCTCCCGCCAGTGTGGCTCCGACCATGAATACCAATGTCTTCCCCGAACCCGTTGCCAGAACGACGATGACCTGCTCGGGTGCACGTGGACCCATGGTCGCCAGCATGGCATCCCGCTGACCAGGGCGACGCAACTGTAGCTCTGGGTCGTTATGCAGCCTACGGGCGGCCGCGATGATTCCATCTTCTCTGGCAGCCGGCCTTGCACGAAACCGTACCTTCTTGCAAGCATTGAGTAGCCCTTGCGCTTGTGTATCCGATACGGCAGGGGGGCGCTTACCTTGGAGCACTTGATCGACCCGAAACAGAGACCGCCAGCTTTGAGACGCTCGGTAGGCACGGTGAAGTGAGCTTGTCACGGTCAAGGTCGTGCTGCCGGCATAGCTATAGTTGAATGTCCGGAAGCTATGGTTGCTCATCCCAGCAAGATACGCAAGATCTGCTTCATCCTCAACCTCTTCAGACGCTGCGATCTCACCCATGTCGAAATTAGCCTGCTCCCTGGCGCTGAACTTCTCCTTTGTGATAGAAGCAGCAACTTGGCGCCACCATGCCACCTGGAACTGGGGCACCTCTGCCCGCACACATGCCCTCCGGAGGCAGGACGAGACCATACCGTCCCGCCAGACCTCGCCGCCAAGCTTTGACCATAGGTATGGCGAAAGTAGAGCCCCCGGCTTGCTCTGACGTAGAAAGGCCTGACGCAAGGGTAGCACGAACGCGAGATATGTCAAGAGGAGGTTTCCAACAGCCGGGGGTAGGAACCTGATGTTATCCTTCTCCTCCCCGGTCTGTTCCTGGCTTTTACTGTATCGCACATATATCATGACCATCTTCTCCCACAGAAATACCGATCGGCGGCGGGCACCCGTGTTGATGTACGTGATGGAGAGTAGTTCCGGGGAGCGTAATGGAGGGCCCGAAGGAACCGAGATGGGTGCCAGCATCCTCTTGAGGAACTCCTGAACATGCGCCTCATAGATAGCTATCGCCTTGGGGCAGAGGCGAACCCCACCGTTTGGATCCAGCCGCACGAATACCTGCCGTAGATCCGCCCTCTCTTCGATCTGTCGGAGCAGGGCGTCATGCGTCCCCGCCAGTATCTCGCGATTCCTCTCGTCTGTCAACCACGAAGCGCCGTAGTCGTCTACATCTAGATCGTCGTGCAGCCTCCACGCCTCGATCGGAGCAACATCCCTCATTCCAAACAAGAGCTTATCATACAGAAGCGAGTGCGCCTGGCGGAACTCAGACTCGACCAGCTGTGTCACTTGTTCCATGTGTAGTTTCGTCCCCATATAGTCGACCGTTTCCCCATCAAGGGACCAGCGGGCTTGGTGCTTGGTAAGACTGGTGCGGGAGGCCGCAAAGAGATATAGCCTCCATTGCAGTACATGTCCGAAAGGTGTCTCCGCCATCTGCTGAAAGTACTTCTTGCACATTTGATCCAGCAGATCGGGGATTCCGTCTTCGTCGTCCTGCTTCTGGAAGCACACGAAGTCGAACAGGATGAGCTGGGCAGTCCAGGTGAGTGCCGACAGATTGCTGTTGAAGTTCCCTGGTTCGCGCCATGTGCACCGCTTGTGCTGCTCGTTATCCACCCGGCGCGTCAGAGCCTTCGTCCGGCTGAGCATAGCACAGAAGCTCAAGATGGCAGACCGGAATGGCCTGCTTCCGACAGTCTGGCAGATGAGCGAGATGTAAAATTTGCGGATGGTGTGCTTCAGCTCGGCATCACGCTCATCATAGTCCCTGGTAGCTATACCATCCTTCTTATCGCAACTTGGCGTCCCCCTCCCCTTTGCCGCCTTGTCTCGCCTCCGCAACGCACCGATGACGTCCTCTATGGCTTGTCGTTGTAGAGGGGTCGTTTCGATTATATCCTGCGGCACTACATGGCTTTCATCCCCTCTTGTGAAATGGCCATCCTCACGATATACCACCCGGTAATAGTATGCTAATAGCTGCTTTGTGATCCGGAAATAGGAGGTAAGGGATGATTCGTTCTTGAAGCTCCGGAACTTGCTGGCTTTTGCACTGCTCATATGGCTATCGTCGCTGCGGAAATTGCTTAGCCTCTTCGCACGCTGCTGCGTCATCTTGCGATCGGGTGATTTGTCGCTGCATAACTTATATGCGTCTCTGAGTGTACTCTCCACTGCGGCAAGAATGCGCCCCAGATCTACATCCGTGTCAACTGCGCCGCCTTCTTCTTCTCCATCATCGTCATCACCACCATCGCCGCCGCCGTCGCCATCATCGTCCCCGCTTCGTGGTAATGCATACGACGACATGATCTCGGTATCGCGGAGACCCTGCAGGTGCGTGGGGAACCCGGTATGGACAAGCCAGGGTACCCGATCAGCCCGTGACGCCTCGACGTCTTGCACAATCTCGGCTTCCTTATCTAGGTCGCGCGAGGCCTGGATGATGTCAGCCTTCAGGTCTTCAAACAGCTTTCCTTCCTCCTGTGACGTGGACGCCATGGCCAGGCCCGACCCTGCCAGTGCTCCTCCCGTTAGTGGCAGAGATGGGTCTTCTTCGACCAGAAAGTAGTCGATGAGGCCCTTAGCCGTGAAGTATGTCTGGAGCTTGCATGCCCTCCAGAGAGGCATAGCGTTCGTATGCTCCGAGGCCTTCCTCCCGTGAACCGGCATGTGATCGTACATCTTCCTAGCCCGCCGCGTGCAATAGTCACATTGGACTTCCGTGCAGGTGCAGATGTAGCCTTCGTATATGGTAAGACCCTCTATAGGCCGGCATGGCCTTTTTCTATCGGCCCTCCACTGCCGCAATGCCTCGACTGGGCGCAGTTCGTAGCTCAAAAACCGCTCGACCGTCAGTCGCAGTTCGTCACCTTTCATCCGGTGCGGCTCGGCCCGCAAGTGACTCCTCCAGCTTGTTTGTTTCGGAACCAGGCATGTTCCGCAGAGGCGGCAGACTATGACCTGGTGATCGGCGTTGTAATGGAAGCTATCAAGACCCATAGTAGGTAGTACTATTACTATAAGATGATGTATTTTTATTGATCCAGGAACAATGAATAAAATGGGGAGCCTCAATCTATATCTATATTCTTACATATCCTGTTTATTTTAACTTTCTCTCCTTTTTCTTCTTTTCTCTCCTTCATTTTCTTCTCTGTCCACCTGTCGATTTAAACTTCCCGCTTACCGTGTTCCGTTGATGTCTGTCCAATCACAATCAACCCTTTCACTGAAATCCCCTTTCACTTGACGCCCGCCATGCCCCTGTCAACGCCATGTCATTTCCCACCCGTGTTATGCTGCGCGGGGTACCTCCAGACCTGACCAGGGTTGCCCCTTTCACTGAAAGAGTCTCAACTCATAGTAGCTGGAAATAGGAGGTAAGAGATGACTCGTTCTTAAAGCTGCGGAATTTACTGGCTTTTACACTGCCCATGTGGCTATCGTCACTGCGGAAATTGCTTAGCCTCTTCGCACGCTGCTGCGTCATCTTGCGATCGGGTGATTTGTCGCTGCATAACTTATATGCATCTCTGAGTGTACTCTCGGCTGCAGCAAGGATACGCCTGAGATCTGTATCCATGTCAACTGCGCCGCCTTTTTCTTCTCCATCATCGTCATCGTCATCGTCCCCGCTTCGTGGTAATGCATACGACGACATTATCTCGGTATCGCGGAGACCCTGCAGGTGCGTAGGGAACCCATTATGGACAAGCCAGGGCACCCGATCAGCCCGTGACGCCTCGACGTCTTGCACAATTTCGGCTTCCTTGTCTAGGTCGTGTGAGGCCTGGACGACGAAGTAATCGTTCAATCCTTTTGCAATGAAATACATGCCGTGTAGAGTGACGGCTGCTGTGGATCGATGTATGGCTACTTATCTTATTTATTCACCATAAGACTAATAATACAATAGATCCGTTTACAGAATTGAAGAATTATCAGAAAGGAAAATTTAACCAGTTTCTATGGTATCTACTCTCGAGGCTAACTCGGCTCAATTTCGAAATACTTAATCTTGCCCTTCGCCGACGAAAACGTCTGGAGATAACAAGACTGAAACTTTTTCTGTTGTTCTGCCAAGATAGGCGCTATATCCAGATTATGAATAATCAAGTGATCCCTAATCTTATTACCGGAAATTGTGAAATAGCGTGACTTAGAAGTTTCGAGGCAGATATTGCACCGAAAACCCTTGAAAACAGCAAGACCTTGTATTTGAGGAATTCTCTCCGTTGGAATATGGAGCTTATCGAACGGGTATAAATCGTGTGTCTGGAATCTTTCCATTAAAGCTTTGCAGGTCGACCCAGTGATGCGATGCACGGAATTGAGGTGGCTGTAGAAAGACTTTACTCCTGGTTGAATCATTGACCCACAAGAAACACATATCAAAATCCGATGCTGGGCGTTGTAAATGAAGCCATCCCCTAGTTTATCTGTATCCTCATTCATAGTAGAACTGCTTTTTTTGCTCCTCTTTGGCTGCCGTTCCAAGATGACTGGGTTTGTAAGTACCATTTCCTGGTTTTGGCAGCAAGTTGCTGGATCCATACTCTGGACGCGTTTTTGGTCAAATTGCTGATTCCAGTCATGCCATATCTTAGATAGTCGATAATACATCTCCAAGAGCTCTGGTTGTAGCCTAGATGGAAGCGCTTTATCGATTGCATATGACGTGAGTAACATTCGCGGGTGATGGACGGCCCCAGCCGCAAACATTCGTAGCGGGTTGGTCGCTTCTGTGGGGTGATAAAAATTATACTTCTCAACAAGCGTGCTGATGTATCGCTTGGCGATGGCAAGTGCAGCCTGCCTGTATGATGAAAGAGTCCATGGTGTAGCGAGATCTTGGGTCAAAGATCTAAGGATCCCGGAAGCTTGTGTGGAGGTAAGATGTCTGTTTCTTCCGCTTGGATCAGGGAAGAAGAACTCGCTCTCGGACCAGTGGGGTATCTTCAACCGTTTTGCAATGAAGCCTAACACGGGGCGAATAATGGCAAGGTATTTCAAGAGACTCTGGCTTAGTTCCTTGGGAAGATATCGGACGATGTAGAAGGCGTAGTTATTTGATGCTCTCGCTTTGTTGTAGCTGATGATAATGATCATCTGACCTCCACGAAAAAAGACGTTCCGAATAGCTAGTGTCGTATTGATGTATCGAATGGTGGCTACCTCGGTACCCCTGCCGGGTAACCCTCCCGAAAAATGCGATGCAGCGAACGTCAGCTTATTGAGTTCTAAACCTGCATCAAGATATGCTATACAGGTGTCGACCTGCCACTCTGTACCTTTGACGAAGGGTTTGCCGCGAAAGCTGGATGATCTCAGTGTGTCTGCTAATTGTTCCCATATATCTGCTAGCTTGTTCTCGGTGGCTTGTATAAACGACCATCCGGCTTTCCGGCAAGTAAGATCATCTTGGATGTCATCAGTATCGACATCAGGTTCAAGTCCTAACATCATCTCGTCTACCCGCTCTTGCACAAGCTTGATGGTTTTGCAATGCGTCGCGCAGAACTCAGAAATTTTGAACTTTTTGTCATGTCCGATAGTAAATGACTGCCCATCTGGATCCCAGGAGAGATTTCCAGGGATACCTTCTCTCTTGACAATCGATTTGGCAAAAGCTTTAAGCTCGATGATTTCCCCAAAAGGTGTATAACAGCCTCGGATCAGGTACTTCTTGCGAATTGCATCCAAGCGATCAGGTTGTGAAGGATAATGATCCCGGCAAGGCCATTCGTAGACCAGAGTACTATAACTGTAGACCGGCAGGGCATATTCGAGGAATAAGAGCCGACCAATCCAAATCAATCCTGCTAACTCTGGTGTAGAGTTATGTGCCGAATTGAAAGTAAGGGATTGTTGTTGTATGCCCATGACAGCAGTGTAGTAAATGATGGCTGACGATGACATGTTTCCAGAGGGATCCTGGTGCGTCCAGAACATCATTGATAGTTGGAACAAGGCCTCAGACAGTCGCAGCCAGTAGCCGTTTGGGAGAGAGAAGTCGGATCCTTCGTAGCCTGATGTTCGGTCTTCATGAACTTCTTCATCCCCCCCAAAACCGGCATCTTCGTCTGTACCTGTGTCAGAATCGTCTTGGTCGATATCTGAGATTTCAGGATCGGAAGGAGTTTCGCCGTTGTGATACCAGTCTTGGCCGCAAGGTTCACTATCTTCGCTATCTGAACTGTCGCTGACATGGCCATCCTCTCCCAGTTGTAGTTGACCAACCAAGTATAACACATGCTGCATCATCTTGACCTCATTGGATCCTAAGCGTACGTTATACACCTCCACACGCTGCCGTGGTGGGTATTGCAGAACGCGAAATACGAAGCAGATAAATCTTTTCCATATTGCCAGATATCTTTTGAAGCTTGGAATGACACGAAATCCGTGTGGCCAAAAAGCGTCCTTCGCGAATGTATTTAGCCAACAGCGAGAGATGTACGGCGTACGGTCAAGTGTGGCTCTTGCCCTGTCGAACATCAAGTCTAGGCCATGGAGGATGATCTGTAGCTGGGCCTCAGTTTCGGCAGAGCTCCATATAGGGATTCCTTGCCATTGACCAAGCAGATAATTTCTACTCCATTGCGGGGCTGGTTGCTTCGCCGTAGCGGCGATAATTGCGAGGGATCTATCACGGAACAACTCGACCCAGCCGGTGTGCCGGAGCCACGGGGTCGTCTCGCTCGCTCCAGTAAATGCCACATAATTAGTTTGAGTGCTTTCGAATGGGCGTTTCATGATGT